TCAGTTCGCCTACCAGCAAAGTGCTGGTTTATCCGCTTCTGACTATAAATGAATTCTTGGAAGAAGAAGGAATTTAAGGACAGAGTGAGTGGAGCCGTAAACCGTACAATGAAGGGAGATGGCTTCCTGCAAAATCTATTCAGCTAAGAATAATTTAAGATTCAAAAATGACCATTGAGCTGGAAATTAAGTAGTTCCTAGGCTGTGAAAACTTCCTGGCTGTGGACATTACTGATGTACAGAGAGTATAAGGCATAAGATGAACTTTAGACAGAAACCGTAGGTCTTTGCAATTGTTGCTTCAGTGAAAAACACCATTATCCTGGGGGAAAAAAATGTAATTTGTAGTACTGTAAATGGTCTGTGGTCTATTAAATATCTTTAGTTTTAGTATGTCCACTTTAAAAGACTATACTGACTGCATAAATACTTTTCTGTACTGGCTGAATAACACTAGTTCTGGGAAGTATAAACCCTGCATCCCGCAGCATCCTTCCCCTGGAGTTTGGTATAACTCTGTGAAATGCTGGGGTTTCAACCCCCAGCCCCACACTAAGGCTGACATCTGGGTGATTCCCACAGCCCTTCCCAAAGGGGGTGTTTGCCTTTAGGCTTCCCTCCAGGGTGGTGCTGGTAGGAAGCCTAAAGGTGTCCCACGCAGGGATAACAGCTGGGACCCCTGGCAGGAGGGGCAGTGTCTGTGTGTGAGGGGGATGCCCTGTGCAGAGTTCCCTGCTGGGGAAGGACCTCCCGCCTCCCTGGGACTGGGCTCCAGGCAGGTCTGGCTTTTGTAAACGCGGGCTGTGCCGAGATTCCGTGTGTGGCTTCCTTGGGCTGAAGTGTTTGGCTTGTTGACTCGGTTGTCTCCCGTCCCTTCTATGGGAGATGCATGTCACCATTTATCCCACCCATTGCTGGTCGTGTGGTGTCGTTGTCAGGGTCAGTGGGATTGATGTCCGTTATGTATAATCTGACTTGTTTGTACCCCAGCACTCACCCATGTGCTGACCTTTTGTATCAAATACAATCTGGTTATTGGTTCATCTTTATGCTGGCTGTGCCCTTTATGCTAGGCCTGATAATTAGCAAAACACTCTGTAGTTCTATCAAATTTGAATGGCAGCTAGGTGCTGGGTTCATGTTGAATGTTAAAGTATTTTACTCTTAACAATTGTGCTCTCTCGATTTTAAGAATTTATGTGAATTCAAAATTATTTCTGGAAGAGATAAATATGTTTTAACTGTGAACCACGCATCCATCGTATCTGAGGTGTTTACTGAGTATTGATGCTTCTGTGGCCAAAAGCACAGAGGCTTCTTCTATCTTCCTGCAGGATAAATTATCATCTCTGAAAGGGGGTCTGGTGCTTGAGCATCACCGGGGTCTGTGCGCCTTGGTTATTGTTATCAGTCCATGTCCTGTTGTAGCAGAGAACGTGAGCTGTTGTGGTAGAAGAAGAGTGTCGTGACTTTGATGGGCTCCATTGTGACATTTCTGTGTCTCTTAGAGATGGACACATTAGACTTCTTGTTTGAGTGAAGGTTATACCCTTGATCCTTTCTCCACTTGATGTATTGTTTTTTGTCTATTTTCTTTCCAAGTTGACTCATAAGGGCATGGCTGCTGGCCAAAACTTATTTCTTCTGGGCAGGATGTAGAGAAATCTGTAGCTGAAGCTTAGTTAATCCCTCCAATCCCTCTTTGCTGCTGCTTCCATGAGCCCTTGTCCTGACCCCAGCACTGTGGCTGAGTTATCAAAAAAACTCACCTTGTCAGCCTCAGTCTCTTTGCAGATCTTTGTGAAGAGAATACCCCAAAGCTGAGCAGCGAGCACCAGCAGCATGTTGGGTATTACATATTATTCCCTGTATCATATATGATCTGAGAAGCAAAGATTGCGTGTACCCTGTGAAGAAAAGGTAGGAAGAGAGAGTGATCGATGGCTTCCAGTTCTTCCACCTGCGTAGGGAAATTGAGAATTGCAAACCTTAGCTGGGTCTAGAAAGGGAGATGGGAACTGCACGTCTGTATTTCCTTGTGACTTAAAGGAAAAGGTGATGTTCTTAGATGAACGGGGTGGCTAGTTTTCGAAACAGAAATGTGGGACACAATAGCTTGAGAAAAGACTGCTTTTCCAAAGCAGAGCGTATTTTTTCCCCTTGCTGGTCATTAGCAGTGCTTCTGAAGACCAGCTCTTTATGGAGGAAGTCATGCTGGAACACAACGAGCTGGTGACAATTTTAAGCTTCCCCCAGCATGTAATAACTCCAAGTAATTGGTAGGTACGTGTGCTTCAAGGACAATGATATTTTTGCTCCTTTGCCCGTTTAAATCACAGCATTTTGTGCAAGACGGTGCAGCCAAATGAGTGCTGAAATGCACAGCACTGGTACAGGAATATCAGTGCGTATGGTGGGTTTCTAAACCTTTTTCAGTATAGAGCAGGGTTTAGTGCAAGCGCTGTGTGTGTGGCTTACAGATCTTGGTTTTAGATACTGTCTCTTTCAGATAATTATTTTTTTTTCTGGCAGGATTTCTGAACCACTGCTACGGCAAGTACGTGGAGCAGAGGGTCTGGTCCCCTAACCGTGCTGCCTGTGGGCTGGGTTTAGGAGAAGCCTAAACTCAGGCTCCTGACCACTAGCAGGTCCTGCAGCCCTTCAGGTCCTTCTGCAGGTGTTGTCCTGTTTATAGATAGAGGGTAATGCTACCTTACCCGTTACATCAAGGTGAAGCAGCTAGATTGTTGTGATGGCTGGTAAGAGAAAGGACTAGCCACAGCCCTCCCAAAAGCAGCCTGGTTTTCCCCTGCAATCAAAGGGTCATCTCTTCCCGTGATCATCTCATGCACGTCGCTCTGCCCGATAAAGGGAACGGTCAAAGCTGCAATCTACAATCCAGTATTTTCAGGTGTTTGGCAGATCTGAACCACATTTGGGATCTGTAATTGTGAAGCGCATCGAATAGAGTAGAATATTGCAGTTGAGAGATTCACAGTGAGTCCCAAGTTCTGCTGCTCCAGGCTGGTTGAAGTTCTGAGTGACTCGGCCCTTTGATAGACAAAACATTTATCAGTGCTTGAGATGCCCAAAAAGGTTTGGAGAGGAGGGGGTGTAGCATCAAAGCCCCTGTTTTGAGGCTCCACCTTCCTCTGGAGCTCAGGGGTTTATTCCCCAGTTTAGCAGAATCACTGCAATGAAGATTGTCCCGACAGATTCACTGTTCTTACTGTTTCATAACGGAGGGACTTTTGCCATCCTTATATTTACAGTGAAATTTAATGCTCAGTATCAGATGTTTGGCTGGAAATGTCAGTATTGTGTTAACAGCTGAATGAAGCTCAGCCTCTTGCAATAGATGGCATTTTGTCCTAAATGTGTGATTTTGTCCCCTGTGCACGTACCTGTTATGTCCCATCCCCCCAAAATTCTGGATACCGAATGTGCCCCAGAGGAGGGTAAGCAGTGAGAAAAATGGTATGTGTGAAGAGGCCTCACATGCAGAAATACTACTCCTAAGAGTTTCTCCACACACATTTGCCCAAGATGTCCTAAGCTCAGCTAAATTCCTGAGTCGTGTAATTCTGACGCAGAGGCGGGGTACTGGGGAAGGTGGACACCTGGTTTTGTCTGGAATGGGGAGCTCTGCGTTGACACTACTTGGCCAATAGCAAATATATTTTCCCTTGGAATATTAATTTGGTTACACTGATTTTAAAATATATGTAATGTAAACCAAAACAACAACAACAACAAAAAGGCAAGACAGGATAATTCAGACTGTCGTACTGTGGCTGTGTGGAATTGGAAGCAAGAGTGTTTCGTCTGATTTACTTTGTGATATTTTGAAGAAACTAGAAGATAGATTGCGTAAGGTATGGGTAAATGCTACTTTTGCATCAAAAAATCTGGATCGGGGTGTTTATTTTGATGTTTCTGATGCAAAATACAGTTCACATCCCCATTGTAAAAGTCTCTTTTAGAGCAGTGTTTTCAGAGGTGCAGCCTGTATGCTGATAAGCAGTTACTAGAGCGTGAACAAAGAATGCCTGGTTTTAGAAATCTTGTATGTGTTGCCATTTATACAAAATGAAGCTGAAAAAAAAAAAAAATTAACTTTAGCGCAGCATACACAGTGATAAAGACACTAGTTGCAAAATGCTGGTCTTATAAGTATAATTCATTATACTTTCTTTGATCCAGTGTTACAAATTAGGGTCACTCGTGTCAGGAGATTAAAACCTTTTTGTCTCTCTTTGATATCAAACTATTCTTTCCCAGTCCCTTTTATCTTCCAGAGCAGCGCTGAATTCCACAGCATCTTTGTCAGTTCACACGTATTATTTGCAGCAATCGTTTAATTGGTTTTAAAACTAATATTATTTAGTCATACTGCCATTTGCAGCAACAGAGGCTCTTTAACATCCTAAAAACGTTGAGAGGCTCTGGCGTTAGCTCGGTAAGCATATGTATAAGAGAGACCACAAAGAATTTTTGGGACCATGGTGGGAGTGCAAGGTAGCTAAATTGGATAGAAAAAGAAAAAACCCATACAAGTCAAAGTAAGATTGTACATCAGAAAAACTACAGCAATCTACTGAAAATTAGTAGATGATAGTCATGAGTAGCTTACAGTGAACCACGGGTACCAGCTTCCCTGAAGCACAGAAATAGGAACTTGGAGAAGCTTGTAAAAGGTGTCCTCAGGGAATCTTCCATTTTTTCACTATGATACCTTTAATCCTAGAATTGTCAAGCCACATGGAAAATAATAGGACTGAATAGTTCAGTCAGTTAAAAGTTAGTATTATTTCTTTTATCAAAAATATTAGGTCTTTCTGTGTTTCTGGAGCTGTTAGCATTTATATAAACTTTAAAACAAGTGAAGTCAAGTATTGAACCTGTATTGCTCTTTCTTTTTTAATTTAAGATCATTATCTGTGACTAAGCAGACTCTATTCAATAGAAAGAAAGAACTTAAAGCCAATATTTTTTAACAGATGATTCAACGAGAGGCAGAAGTAAAGAATAAGGTAACTGCTGTGGCGTTGACAGACTCTGTTCACAATGTGTGGCATCAAGAAGTTGGGAAAACTATTCGAGAGTGGATGCGAGAGGTGAGGCCAGGTTTTTTTTTTTAAAGAGTTTGGGGTATATACGTCTGTATATGGCTCTATAAACATGTCTTTATCTGCTGACCTCTTCTATTTCTTCAGGGTGTGAAAGACAGCACATTGCAGGACCATGGAAATTGTGTGCCCATACCAGCCCCTAAAATAACCGAGATTAAAGCCATTTCTGAACTTCAAAGTTAGCAATCAAAATAATAAGAATCAAGTCCAGTGTTTGTTCCTGCCACACAGCAATATAGAGACATGTACCAAGACATCCCACACGCTGCCCCATACCCTCAGCAAAGTCCTGGGCGCACCCCAGTGCTTCTGGCTTTGACCCGGTGATGGTGGAAAAGCCCCTTTGAGCTCTTTGTTGACTCAGTTTGATGATGATTCGCACAACTGGCAAAAAATCCAGCAGTTTTGTGAGATAACATTACTCCTGAAGTGCTCCCAGGTTTTCTGACGAAAAGTCAAGAGTATTTGCTACCCTACACTGACCCAACAGCTAGTTGGTGCAGGGTGATCTGGTGTTGGTTGATGGCCGTCGAGCACCCAGCTCCACCCTTGGGTGAAGGATGATGCCATCCTTCCGTCATTCATTTAATACCTAAGTGTGGGGGTGCTGAGACTTTAAATCTTATTTTTTTACAGCGAGACCAACTAACCTTCCGTTTATGAGTCTCTTCCTCGCCAGGCCAGGCTCATCTCCGTGTTTTCTACCTTCCCGTTGCAGAATGCTAAAACAGTAGGGGCATGTGGCAAATTTAAACTAGTCGCATCCTGGATGTCTAGTTAGACTTGACTTTTTCCCATGGACTTGGTGAAACTTTGTGTATAGACGGCCTATTCCTGACTTAACCTTACAGTTTTATAGGCCATGACTGATGGGAATAGAGAGTCACCTGGGATCCGGCCTGACAGCTCTGACTTAAATGTTAAAAATATAAAGAATGGTAACCCCTACAGGCTCTGTCAGAAAAATCCCCATTTTCTTTATAGGAAATCAAAACCTTAAAATATATGTTATGTAGTAAAACTGAAATTTTAAATCCTCTAATTTGAATCTGACAACTCCATTTTTCTTTAAGCATTTAGCCTGAAAAAGACAAGTGCATTACCTTTAATTTCATTTGCAGAAAGTAGATCTTAAAGAATAAGTTAAATGATTAATGGCCTAAAAAGTGGATGGAGTGTCATAACTTACATTAGCATTGAAAATCTCCTATAAGAAAGAAGAATTTTACATATGTGAAGTGTGGCTGAGTGGTATTAAGACTAGCATATCACCTGGATATCTCTTACTTTAATCAGGTTTAAGGCTACTGGTAAAATGAATAATAATTAAAATATACACCTAATCGCTGCCTGTCTGTAGGGCTAATTGCTGTCATTGAAAGAATGAATTGTTAAAAAAGTAATTCTTCATTGGAGCTATCTCTCCTGTATCATTGGTGGCCTATTTTTAGTACCTATAGAAGTCATGATTTTTGAATTTATTAGGAGCTGTGATGAATGATAAAACAAATCATCCATTTACATATCTTGACACTGCTTTCGAGAATACTTATTTCTTACAGGCAAGTGTCACATTGTATATAAAAGCTGGTTAATTGTGTGCTAATCTTCTGTATTATCTCCAGCTCTCTGATGTAGTGTTCTATCAGTAGTTAATATTAATTTTACTTATTTCAAATGAATGTAATACTTCATAAAAATTCTACTTCTTTTATAATTTCTACCATCTTACATTTGCAATTTCACATTCAGCTGTTAATTAAAATTATACATGCAAATTGTAAAATGTGTAATGCTTTACTACTTTAAACCTTAAAGCCTTTGTGAAATACTTCCATTTTAACCATTTTGTACTAAAAAAGTTACGTTACTGGGTAGTGTGTTTGTTTTCTTTTTTTTTTTTTTTTTCCATCGAGTTCAATAGTTTCATTGATCTACTGTTTCTTACAAAAATCTGCCATGCTTTGTGAACTTCACTTTCTAATCTCATACAGCAACCCTTCCTTTATGTTGTTCCTGCTCTCCCTGGTCCCAGAACAGTAGGGTTGCCTTGACAAATCTATTCAAAAGCCATTCCTCGCCCTTTATTGGTGGGGACTGAAGCCTTTGAAATTCTCTCCTCACTGCAACACAGCTGACATCTTCTTCCAGACAGAATGAATTAAGGAAATACAATAAGACACTTGATCTACCAGTCAAGGATCTTTCCACAGTGAGGACGGACTCCATGGTGCACAACTAGGGCAGCAAGCATCTACAAATACACAATACATGCTTGTTTACCAGAATAGCCATCGTCCATTTTTACAATCATGATTGATGGGATGATTTTTTAGAAATCTGTCTGAAAATTCATTGGGTCTTTCCAAAAAGTTGTGCGGGGTTTTTTTTGGTTTTTTTTTTTTTCCTTTTTCCCTTAATGAAGTTAGTCAGGTTTTCAGAAAGGGAAAACTCAGATTTGTAACGAGGGGAGCCATGTAGATATTGTGGTTCAGCTGGCAATCCTGTTAAAAATGTAGTTGCTTTGTAATTAAATCTTCAGTTCAGTAGATTTTGCTGTAATTTAAGCATATTTTGTTAAAAAATGTTGTTCAATACTTTAATTCGTAGGCTCCTCTGAATAGTTACCATTTGGAGGAAAACATTTTAAAAATTCATGGTAAATTCATCCTACTAAGAGGTTCAGGAATGAAAGGTAAATGTGAGCGCTTCCTGAGCATAATTCCCCAAAGACCAGTGTTTGCATTTTTAAATGTTCATGCGCCATTCATCTCAGCGATATTTCCAATTATTTGAATATTAATCTGCTGTAGTGATGGCTGTCATTCATTTATAATCTGTTGGTCTAGTGATTTCACAACCGTTTTTTTCCACAGCGTACTCCACCCAAACACCCTGAAAATTTCTGATTTCTTCACTTTGGCAAGCGAGCAGGCTCAGTGTTTACATCAACGCCAGTTTAGCAACTACAGAAGGGAAAAACTTAAAACGTGTGTGGTGGGTGATTCAGGCGCCCGTTGGTCCAAGCACCTGCCTAAGTCCACTGGCACTCGAAGTAGCCCTTAAAGACAATGCTATTTAAGCACGTTACAAATCTCCCGAATTATGGTCTTTTTACTTATTTAGTGTGAAAGTACGATATTTCACCACCAGTTAGTGTGGATGAGCCAGTGTAGTGTACATTCCCGTCCCTGTTGGGACTGCTATGTAAATCAGTCTGAGTTATTTTGATGCGATTGTTGTCCCTGGTTACAAAGTCTGTATTTATTTTTGCTCTGAGTTTTTGGCTTACCCCAGAATTGCCTGCCTGCTCTTACAGAAGTGCTGTAACTGGGTGTCCAGCTCCGAGCCCCTGGACACGTCGGTGGAGTCCATGCTGCCGGACTGCCCCCGCGTCTCTGCAGGTACGTCCGTTTGCTTGCAGCAGGCCAGTACACCTGTTTGTGCCCAGATTGTTTATTTACAAATGCATTTGGCTCTGAATTAATTTTAACCCTTCCACGGCAAGATGTGGTTGAAAGCATGTGGCTGCTTCTGCTTTATGCAACCCACTGTTAATTTTTTTTTTTTTTTTTTTTTTTGGTCTCTATGTGGGATTTAAGTTCTCTTGTCTACTTGTAGCTCATATTTTTCTAGTCTTCTCTCTTTGGCTTTAAGCAGTTGGTGACATTGTAGGTAGGAGCTTAAGAAAAATAATGGAGATGATGAAAACTGGGAAATTCATCGCAGATCCTTGATTAAATATCTAAAAGTATGTAGGCAAGAGAGTATTAAAGACGTACATTAACGAAAGGTACGGCTACATGAAATAAGACACTTTCCTGAACCCTGATCAGCATAAATCTAGTTTACATAGCAAATTATTTACAGCATCCAAGAATGTTGACGTGAGATTTCCGTTGTTTTGGAAATACTCAGCCATGCGTTTTCATTAATGAATCGTAAGTCTTAAGGAGCACATGAAATAATACACAGAGACTTTTGTTAATGTGCAGTAATTCCAGAGAGTAGACGTAGTTGTCAATGTAACAGGGAAATCTCCAATCTCTGTAGGAAAGTAATCTAAAATACATAAAGCTGTTACTGAACTTTCATGTTTGATTATCAGATTTCCTAAAAGCCATAGGTAGCGTATTTCTGTAGAATATAAAATCGGGTTCAAAGGAAGACACAGCCTATACAATATTAATTTAAAAGCGGGAACAGTGTTTGACCTTGCTCTGTGAGACGCAGTTATTCGTTTGACAAGTTGGAGATTCATATCTGTCTGGATTTGTGGGGTTGTTAATGAGACCTAACCTTGCAGATGAAATTTAGTTTACTGCAGGATGTTTTTTTAAGTCTTGGAAAATTTCAGCAGTAGTTTGTTTGAGAGCTCACAACAACCAGAGACCTGTAATCACATTTCTGCTGTGGGTTGGGATCTAACCGTGCAGATCATCAGCTCTGTACAGACGCAGTGCAGTAGCGTTGACATTGCTCTTTAGTGCTTAGGGAAACGATATATTACTAAAATTTTCATAAATTCAACATTCGTTTACCAACTTTTTGCTCCTTCAGGGGAGAGTACTGCGGATTGAAAGAAAAGCATTGTTCAGGAGTGGAATTCTTTAAAACAGGATTAACTTCCAATCTCTGACGTCTGTGTTGCTGTTGTGGAAGGGTGCGTGTTGTAGAGGTCATTTCAGTCAGGTGAGCAGGGGCTTAGGTAGAACCAGTCAGTATTTGCGGTACACTTTCCAGCACTGAAAATCCTCCATCTGAGCTTCTCTTCTCGGTATTCATCCCGTGTAAATAATGTAAAAGGTATTCTGTAAAAGTCTTCTTTAAAAAACAGACTGATGCTTTAATAGGGATGGGAATAAGTCTTAATTTTACATTTCTTTCAAGGATGGGCCGTAGTAGGCATAATGTTTATACTCCACTTAATGAACTCCCAGCTACACAGCATTCTTTGGCAGAAGAGTTAATTTAAGTGGGGTAGGATTTCAGCCAGTGGAAGTTGAAAGCGTTGGCTATTAGTATTTCATGCGTACATACAATGCCACGAGGCAGAGATCACTGATGTTTTAGAAGTTCTCGTCAGAGATTGTGGGCAGTGATTTAAATGGAAGCTAACTATTTCCAGGTTGGTTCTTTGTAATATAAGGACAGTTTAAAACAGTGTAGCTTTATGTGACTACTGCTGAATTTATCAATTTGCTCACATGTTTTTATTTATATTTCTCGTATTCATGTCTTACGGACAACTGTAAGACATTTAGAGAGGAACAAGTGAATAATTCTTACAGTGTGTTTATATGAGCAATAGCATAAACCTGCATTAGGGTAATCTGTAATAAATTTATGAAATGCTACTAGATGTAGAAGCATTAGTATTTAATGTGAGGTATTTCATTTCACTCAGTTCCTGAGAATTGCAGTACTGAAATAGCCCACACTCAAATACTGGCAGCATTGCCCTTGGTATTTCAATGAATGACTGAGATCAATCAGAGCAACGAGGGGAGATTTTTTTTTAAAAAAAAAACAAGCCTTCTGCAAGAAGGAAGGTTCACTTTTCTGCTTGGAACCCCATCTTTTATCTGTGTTTGCACTGAGGAATAAATTCAGGAATAACTGCCTCTTGGTCACATCTCGTGATCTGGCCTTTTCCAGAAATGGTCTGATATTCAGCCTTTCAGCATCTTGGGATTTACAGGCAGCCCCCGGCTTGTTTGTGAGCAGTGCCTGCTTTGGATTATGTCACAGTCCCTTGCTTGCATTTCCCTTAAAAATCACTAGAGAGAAATAAATGGCCATCAAACTGGAAAGACAACTTGTATTTCGAGATAGGGTTCTAAAGCTTTTGATTAGAGCATTATTAAGTAATTAAATTGTTTGCTGTAATTCATTCTGTCTTACCCAGTTACAAAAAGGAATGAATGCACTTTAATAATTAAATGTTGTGGGCGTGAGAACAGCAGCAACACAGAAGAAGTAAAGCCATAGTGAACCCATTCTCTCTCCTCATGGCAGGAGGTGGGGTGCTGCGAGGGTCCCGTGTCCATGGTCTTTCCTCCACCTCTCAAGGATTTGGTTGCATGCTAATTCATAGTTTACTATCTTCCTGCAACAGGTTATCCTCACACCAGAGGGATTGCCCTCTAAAATTTCCTGTTTAATACAGTTGTACTGTGTGGCATATGTCATCCTAAAAAGCCTCCCATAGTGTTGAGAGACGTATCTCCCAGCTCAGACATCTTCCGTCAGACCTGGAGCTCCCGTTGCGGTTATCTGTCCAACACTGTTACCCTTCACGTGCTTTTCCAACAAGAACAAGGCATTCTTCCATGTCACAGAAGAGTCCACCACTCTCCCTCTGTCATCTGTCTTACACCAGGCGGGCTTGTCCAGCATCATCGCCCTCTGCTCTTCCTCTGGCTCACAGCCCTCTCCGGTTTCCAGCTTTGGAGCACTGCACAAGGAACTCAGCTGTGGCACTGTCACCTTGTTGGCCCGGAGGAACCCTCTGCCAGTCTTCTGTTAAAAAAACTGTCTCCTACCCTCTTCACTTTCATCCCTCATTAAGGACCTCTGTTAGACCTCAGGTCATCTTCTGCCTCAGTCTTAATCCACTTTCCTAATGGAGCCAAACCAGAAGACCTCCCTTCTGTCTCAGAGGAGATGGATCCATTTCCTATCTAAGACATAACCCAACACAGGCTGGAGAAAGGTGAAGACTTTAAAAGCAGTCTGTACATAAAAAATGGTCACGTAAAATGAAGTGGGGCTGGGAGTCTTACTGGTTCAGAGTTTAGAGGTCAACACGTAATTTGACGCAGACAGTGGGATAAACGTTCTGATGACGGGTTGTATCATGTTACCACAGCCATAGTTGTAGTTCATGTAATGTTTCTAAGACCTTACAGCATTCCACCTAGTTCTGGAGCCCTTGGGAACCCATCCCGCTGAAGCAGCTGCTGGGTGGGAATAGCTGGAAGAGAGGGTGGGAGAAAGGAGATCCATGGATCGGCGGCCATCTCTTGCTGCTCAGGAATTAAATTACGTTGGTTTCGGGATAGTGGCCTGACCGTTACCCCACGAAAGGCACTGTGGTAAATTTTGCCAGGTAAACATGCCCTCTGTTTTCCTGCATAAAAATATTTTGGGGTGGCTCATGGGGAGCACCTTATTGTTTGCATAAGTTACATTCCTTGACTCATATGTTTCTGCCAGTGAAAGCCTTTTATTTAGGAGAGTAAACTTTGCGGTATTTTGTGGAAGTGGATATGCACCAACACTCATTTACATAATCAAATAAAAAGAAGTTATTGTAACATTAGTAAAATGAATTGCCTAATCAAATCCTCCTAAAGCCTTTCTAGTTGACCCCCCAAATCACTAGTTATTCTTTTAACAGTTGCAGCCAGTGTAGTTAAAACATTGTAAAATAAGGAAATTATAACATCAAAAGACAAACAAGATGACACAATGGAATGAAACGTTGACAGTAATCAAGAAAAGCTCTATTCACAGAAGAGCCTAGACTTGAATATATGCCTCTGTAATAAAAGAAAAGTGCAAGAATTAATTCATGTAGCTGAATGGAGTGATCTCAGGCTGGCGGAAGAAAAACAAACTCTTAATTTTGAGGGACAGGTATGACCCATGCTGCTGGTGCTCTCAGCAGTATTCTGAGTGAGTCCTCAAGTAGCACTTCTGGTATCAAACATCAAGCTTGGCTCTGTATGGTATATAAAACATTTAATTTCATTTTAAGCCTGGCACAACTTTTTTTCGTTTAATTGTTTGAATTCAGAAAAGATCGTGAATATTTTTTTCTAACAAGCTACTGCAGGTGTTTGGTTGGGTTTTTTTTTACAAATAAATAAAATAGAAGGGCGGAATGGTTGGGGTGTGAAGGGGTCTCTGGAGGTCATCTGGTCCGACTCCTGCTCAAGCAGGGCCACCTGGAGCCGGCTGTCAAGGACTGTCCAGCCTTCCGTAAGCTCCACTGCATGTCAGTAAAGAAGCTGTGGTCAGGGTAGTTAATACTCACACAAGGTTGTGGGGTTTTTATTGGTACTCTTGCCCTAAAAAACCCCATGCTGTAGCCCTGCGGTGCACCAGGTGGTTGTGCAGGGTTTAAGTCCGTACGTGAGTGAGTATGGAGTGGGGTTGGTGTTAGATGTCCAGACTCAGGTAAGACAGACAGCTTTGCACGTGCCAGCGCCAAAAGGCTGCGCGGAGATGCGGAAAGTGGTTGTTGTCCCGCTTTGCCTTTTCAAATCCTTTTAACTGGGAGAGGGGAAGCGAGGCTGGTGGTTGTCTCTGATGGAGCTTGTCCCAAGAAGGAGCAGGGTTGTCGTCCACTGAGCCTCTTGGTAAAAACAGAGCCAAAAACATTCCTGCCTGTGTTAAA